AGTGTACCCAAGTGCAAAAGTAAAATGGCCGGTGAGTATATTTGTTTAAATATAAATTGTATTTGCACTAATTTGTACAAGGATGGAACAATGTAACCATTTATAGATCGAGCAACCTTATAACGCCCGTCCCTAGATTGAATTACCTTTCCAAAGAAAATTATAGGTAAGTGGTAAACACTGTTGGCTCATTTGCCTCATTGCGGCTGGTTGGCTGGGACTTCTATGTGGAGCTTGCACGTGCTCTGGTTTCCTCCAGCAGTCCAACTGGGAGGAAATTAGTTAAGTGGTGATTCTAAATTAGCCCTGTGTACCCTGGATAGGGGCCGGGATAGGCTCCAAACCCACCTCTATCCTGCTAAGAAAAGTGATGCTTTGGACTGTATGTATGCATTAACTAAATAAAGGGTTTAAAGGAGATAAACATCCTTCAAACCTGTATTATCCTAAAGACTGTCCTTCTGCTTATAATCAACGAAATCTAAAACCTCAACAGGAAAGTTCAGTGTAGATGAGTCCACTTTTTTATAACATGAGCAATATAAGGAAAAAATAATAGCTGATCTAAGGTCGCATGAGACAACTGCATTCAGGACTTGAGTTATATCTGCTTATACAAATAGTTGGAGGTTGCAGGTTGGCGCTTAACGTCAGCCCGATATTTTTGAGCGTACAGCGCCCTCTGGTGTTCAGAAGATTTAGCTACAACATAACACCAGTGAAGGTGACTTAACGTAGAGGGAAAAGTTTGTTAGACGGGAGAGAATAAATATAAGAATATTTCAGGACAGGGTTTGTGCAGATTTGATTTTAAAGAACTCGGTTTCTCTTTTTTGTATTATATTCCAAAAACCATTCCTGGGTCGTAAACAGTTCAAAACTGTTGGGGAGACAGTTTATTTATCCCGGATCATGAAAGACTCCTGAAATAAGGAAGTGGACTCACCTTAGATCAGCACGCCAGAGGTGAGGGAGTGGCTACGTGCCCCTTCTGCTCGACTAACAGTGCGAGGGGCGAACTGACGTGCCCAGGGCTCTCCGGGAGGAATTGTACTTTCCATAAAGCTTTTATTTTCAGGGAAGTTCAATCAGAATCAGGTAAGACTCAAAGATTAACTCGTGTTTATGTTTCTGTGAGCACAGGGGTTTCCAGATACTGCTGAACAAACCATTATGATTAATCCGAGTGTTTGCCATAGGCCCAAATGTACTGTACAAGTTAATAAAAGACTGATTGACCAACATTTATACGATCTCACAAGCATGCAAATCCAGAATTTGTTTTATTCATTTTCATTCTTTAAACTATCCACAAACGTGAGTTTTACAATATTTTCTTTGACTGATAGGAGAGAGAAAAAAATGTGAGGCTTGTGCATGTGTGTTTTCAGGATAAGCAGCTGAGTGTCACGGCAGATTGTGGAGTCCTAGCTGCTGTTTTTTCACATAGAAAGAAAACTTTGTTCATTATCAAAGCATGTCTGTGCAGGTGAGGAGGCAGCCCGCCGCATTCCAGTGCCTGGGGTCATGACGTTGCAATATGCAGACCCTCAGCACAAATGTGTTTAGAGAGTAAGCCTGCCTGAGTGCCTGCCTGCGCTGTGTTTCCACCAGGAACAGAGGTTACACAATAACTGCTGTAGTTTTATCATCTCTACAGGAGAGGAATTAACTTTTTTTTTTACTGTCAGATATCAAGAGTAAGATTTGTTTCTAATATATATACACACACATAGTAAAAAAGGTATGTAAGATAGGTAAGATAATGACCGGTGAGAGTTTTCCGATACCAATTCCCAGAAACACCATGTGATGAGACTTGTCCAAGGAATGGATGTTACTGTCAGGTGTGCATGTCATGACAGATTTTGGGAAACACAGTGTCTTCCATATACACAGGTGTCTGGCTGCTGCTGCTGCTGCTTTAGAAAGAAACCCGAGAGGCTGTCAGAGGATGTGCAAAATAGAAAGCCTAACTAATATCAATACTAGATTTTTTTTATTTTATAACTTTTCACTTAGGCCCAAATAAATGTCAGTAAAAGTGAAGGATTCAGTCATTTGACTGAAAAACAAAATAACTCTATCGGAGAGTTGCAGAAATTTCAGGAGCGGGCAAATCAACAGCCTGGTACATTCTTAAAAAACAATGAATGCACTGGCCACCTCAGCAACACCAAAAGGCCTGCAAGTCCACAGAAGATGACTAATGTGTGTGATGACAGGATTATTTCCATGGTTAAGACAAACAACTTCACAACATCTAAAGAAGACAAGAACACACTCAGGGAGATAGGTGTATCATTGTCAGTATCTACCATGGAGGCGTCTGCATGAATGTAAATATAGAGAGTTTGCAACAAGGTGCAAACCGACAAGTTATTCAAGGCAGTGAAATGGGATATTCTGCAACGGGCAAGTCAGTCAACCGAGCATGCTTTTCATTTATTAAAAGAAAAGATGACAAGCATCTCTCAGCAGTAATTTAAAACATATCTTTATATGGTCATATCTTTAAATACATGTTTGCTTTAATGCAGGAGTCATTTAGATGGATGCTGAATAGGAAAGTTTACAGCTAAAAGGAGAGGTTGAATGTAGTGAACAAACTTTAAATTACTGCAAATTATACACTTGAAAACTTGAACTTTGTTCAAGAAAGGCAGTGACTAAACTCAAGATCGTGAAATAAAAGCATCAAATATTTCATATGAGGATTGGTATCTGGGTGCTGCTCCCTGAGCCTGGTTCTGCTGAACGGTTCTTCCTGTTAAAAGGGAGTTTTTCCTCCCCACTGTCACTAACTGCTCGCTCAGACAGGCTTTTTTGATTGCTGTTTTTCCCCCCTGTTTTTTTCAGGGTCTTTACTTTGCAGTATAACGTGCCTTGAGTTAACTGTCCCTGTGATTGGTGCAAAATAAATAACACTGAACCGAACAGCAACTACTGATATAATACTTACTAATGAACAATTAATAAAGGACTAAAAAACCTACCATTATTTTTTCACAATTATATAAAACAGATCACTTCACAAGCTTGAACAAAGATGTTTAATCCTTAAAACAATGAAGAGAGACTGTTTTTATTTCAAGCAACTAACTTATTAATGAACTTGGAGTTGCAGCTTAAGTGTAACTGGTCTCACTCTGATGGGAGCTTTCCAAATAGAGTAAAGTTTTATATGCAAGCTTAAACTTAGCAAAAAGCCAGGTCATGGAAAAAAGTAAGTTTTCACATAATAAATAAAGGATAAAAAATAATCAAAAGAACCTTACAGTGTGTTAGACATTCCCCAGCTGCGTGTTGGTGGCCATTATTTCTCTGAGACCTACTGCATTGCAGAATCAGTTTAGCGTTTCTGTACACCCTCCCCTGTCCTCTAAGTGCAGCCTTGTTTAAAGTTTCTGCCTTGCCACTCATTTTCTTGTGGAATTTCCTTCTCATTTATCAGCGTCCATACGGCCTCCTCAGTTGATGCTGTTTTCATTAGATCCCAGCAGAATAATAGCGGAGACATACAGCAGTAACTCCTCTAGATAATTGTCTGCGGTAATGAATATTTCCACTTATTGTCCCGCTGAGGCCTCTGTTGTGGATGAGTGTTGAAAGAGTTAGTTCACTCCAGCTCGCTCTCAGTTTGTGTTAAAAAAAAAAAAAACTCCCTGGAGAGAACAGTTGTTACCATAACAACTCAAGTGCCAGCATGACAGTGTGTGAGTGGCAACAATGCGTGTGTCACTTTTGTTCACTTATGAACCAAAAAACTTAAAAAAAAACAGAGTGTTTTTACAGACAATCAGAAGAAAAGACTTCATGGTTGTCTGTGATTTTGTGATTTTACTTGGGGATTTTTAAAAAGTGTGTGTTTGTGTGTGTGTGTTGACTTTTTTTGAGAGCTCATTCTGCCTGACATTACTGTCCTTCTCTAGAATTGGATGGCTCTTTTCCTATAATCAAGAGAGCTCACTGCCATTAAAACACAGGACCTTACTTTGAGGTATCTGAACGTTATTTCTAAATGTATTAATTCATCATTGATATATTAATCTAATCTATCTGATTGTAAAATGAGCAAAGAAAGGCAACAAATCTAACCTGCCATTTTGTGGGAAATTATTTTTGTTAATAATGATTGAATTGAGACTTGTTTTCTTCATTACTTTCATCACAATAATTCAAAAACCTAAAAAAAGCATCGTTTTTTTTTTACCATCAGTCTGAAAGTCAGAAGGAAGTAATCTGCAGTTACGTAAGAGGAACTGAAATCATTAAAAAGCGATAAATTGGTCTATCTGAGTGACACAAGTGCTCAGTTGACTGTATTTGTGTGTTTTCAGGTTTTTGTTTCTTTTTATTAATTGTGACTCACCGCCAATAAACAAAAGGTTTTTGTTAACGCTCGCCTCTTTCCAGAAATAGTTTGCTTGGCTTTTAAAGCCAGTCTTTATACTTGGTAAGAAGCCCAGTTTAAACAGGGACCTGTCCATGTCTGTGCCTCGTTGTTCCTGATTTGTGTGTTGAAGAAGTGTTAAAAACTAAATCTAGTCTCACACGCTTGCCCAACAGCGTGTTTAAGACCTTACGACAACCAGTGGTCTTGTTTCGATGATTTTTTTTTCTGTCTTGTTGTTGCTGTTGTTGTGGTTGTTGTTGACCCTATGACGTCAAATCCTTCATGGTATACTGTGTAATAAGCCTTATGCAAATATTTTGTCACAAAGGATTTTGCAATGGTGTTTGGCCATTTGTAGCAGTATGTAAGGTTTAGGTTTACTGACAGCAATCAGTGGAATCCACATGTTCAGTCCATGGATGCTTTTTCTTGGAAGTAATTTTAAACTTCACTCTGTCTCCTGGAACCCCTCTTTCAGGCTGCCCACACCCAGGTGATGGTGTAACATGCTGCCTTTGCTTCACACTCCTCTTCTCTTTTTCTTTTCTACACATACACACGCACACACACACATACACTCTTACACACAAACACACCCACTCAGCCCTGCTGGGGAATTCATGGCCTCAGGCTAACAAACACAGTCGAAAAGCAGCAGAAAGCCCTGAAAGAATTAACGCTGCTCGGCTCCCTCACGGACTAACAGCGTGGAGTTTCATTTGTACGGAAACACCTCATGACAGACAGAAGACACGTTTCCGATCGACAGTATTGTGAGGTACGCATGTTGCAGCTAGTTTCTTTTGCTCTGTTTGCTGAGCCTTCAGTTTCTGATTGGTCAGGCAGAATAAGACGGTAAGAGCTTCTGTGCATTTATTTATTTAGTTTTTGTTCACACGGTAATTCCTGCCTTTATCTGTGTCACGTAACCTGTTTGGTCACAGGGTGTACAGCACCCTTGCTTTTCAGAACAGTGAGCAAATTATCGTCTAATTCCAAAAGTGTTTTTATAGCTGTTATTTTATCACAGCCATAAGAACTGTTAAAATCTCAGATCACCAAATGGTCAGTGCAGAATCTCCTGTTGCTCGAATGCATTTAAAAATATTCCTATCTGCTCTTGGAGGATAGATAAATATTCCTACATGAAAAAGAAAGGATTTATTTATTTATTTTTATCATCGCATGTGGTTTTAACAAACCATAATTTTAATTCAGGACAGCACAGCGGTGCAGTGTTTGGGACTGATGCCTCACACCAAGAAGGTCTCAGATTTGAATCCGCCGACCGGCTGGTACTTTTCTGTGTGCAGTTTACCTGTTCCTCTTGCTCTCTCAAGGTACACTGTGGATTTCTTCCAGTCCCAAAATGCTTGTTAGGTCAATTGGCGATCCTAGATTAGGGGGGAATATGAGCATGACTGGTTGTCTGTCTTGGTGTGTTAGTCATGTGACAGGTGAAAAAAGCTGCAGTGGCTTCAAAACCATTAAAATTGGTTTAAGAAAAAAACACTAAAAAATGAATTAAGATTTAGTTAAATGTTATGTATATAGTCTATGCCAATCTCGTGAGCAAATCATAGTATGAGACTTAAAGCCCTTACTAGATTTAAACAAACATATATAAAACATTAACAATTATTATGAAGGAGGGGTCTTTATTGATTTTTAGTATTTTGGATTTAGAATGACAGGTCTGTATGCTCAACGTAATGCTGAACCAGGAGGCAGTTAGCATATCTTATCAGTTTTGGTGGTAGGCAGATTTTGAGTCATTGTACCAAACAGAGCATCACTGGTGCTGGGTTTTTGGGTCTGAATCTGACACCTTTGAGTCTGTGCCACCATCTATTCAGCTGAGATGTGTGCTATGCTAAATGTGCTGCAGAAAATGCACATTATAGAGTCTGGCCTGCTGTGTCAGACAACTGCAATATTTCCAAATTACTACAAGTATTTGTGATGTAAAAGGTTTTTACATCTGAAATCAAAAGACAACTTATACGGCAAAACTGATAGTTTTGTGACAGGCCAATATATAGCTCTAAAGGTAAGCTAACTGCCTGCTAGCTATAGCATACTGGACATAAATGAGAAGAAACAGAATTCCTAGAATTTCAAATGACTAAGTTATCCTTTAATAAAACTCAAAGAAGCCAGTTTCTTATACTTAAAAACGACTCAACAGTCGCTCCATTACTGAAGTACTATGTCAGACCTCCTTTTGCCTTCAGAATTGCCTTAATTCTTCATGGTATAGATTCAGCAAAATTCTGGAAATGTTCTTCAGAGATTTTGGTCCATGTTGACAGAATAGCATCACACAGCAGCTACATGCAAATCATTAGATCAGATAATATTTTTCCAATCTTCTGTTGTCCAGTTTTGGTGAGCCTGTGCAAGTTGTAGTCTCAGTGTCCTTATCAGGAGTTTTAATGTTCAATGTTTTGTTGTTTTATTATTATTATTTTGTTTAAAGAGTATACCAATGTATGCATACCAAGCTTATGCATAACCTTGGTATTCATACCAACAGTTGTGTTAAAAACATTGCTACATTCCCCCGGTGAGCTAGTAGTCTCTGCAGTTGGACCGCAAATGGCATTTAACACCAAATTAATAGAAAGTTTAACTACAAAGTTTATAATGACCATAAACACGAGATTAAAAATGTATGTTTGAACAAAGCAACATGAATTATGTTGTTCTTTTGCCTGACAGATTTTCTGTGTAGGTTCTCAGTGATCCAGGTCATGGTTAGCCTAAGGACCTTGGAAAGAAAGCAACTGGACCTCTAACTTTCGTGACAGTGTTTCACCTGTCTTACTTTGATATACTCTTTGAACTCTTATCCAAAAGACGGCTCATTTAGTTCTGAAACCAAATGGTCAGGAGTTCCAGGTATTTAAACCCTTAAGAGGGTCCAAGCTCCATAAGAGGGTTGTTGACCCACTATGAATCATGTGCGTCATCACATGAGGCAATGTATGAAAAAACATGTGGGTTATTACCACCAGAGGTTTCACATGAAATCGCTCTGAGACCTCGCCTTACTCTATCACGCGACCTATTGAGGTCACCTGACACAAGATGTGAGTTGGGGTTTTAAGCTTCTGGGAAGTCATTTTAAAACTGCATTGTAGGTGGCTGAGAGGTGTCGTAAGCAACCTCCTCTTTTCAGTCATGGTCGTTCATGGTGGGTTGTGGTGTGTTCCCCACAAGGGGAGCTAGGATGTTGGCAAGGAGCTTGGAAATGTTGTAGGTGGTTGAGTTTATACTGCTAACTAACTTTATACTTCTAAAAATGTCCTCTTAAGGGACTCTCCACTATTTTGGTTTTAGAACTTCCACAGCATGTCTTTTATCCTGTCTTCCTTCTCTCACCCCAACCGGTCGCACCAGATGGCCACTCCTCCCTGAGCCTGGTTCTTCTGGAGGTTTCTTCCTGTTAAAAGGGAGTTTTTCCTTCCCACTGTCGCCAAAGTGCTTGCTCATAGGGGGTCATATGATTGTTGGATTTTTCTCTGTATGTGTCTACTTTAGAATATAAAGCGCATTGAGGCGACTGTTGTTGTGATTTGGTGCTGTATAAATGGAATTGAATTGAATTCAATTGAATTGAACTGAGGCAGCCTCTTGGATGAAAGGTCAAATGTGTCCACAAAGTCGAAGAAATCCAGTCACTTGGATGAACTGGTAGTTAACAGGTGGCAAAAGGAATGCTGTTAATAGATAAACAGCGTTTAGTAGCAAAATATTATGGAGATGAAAATGCAAAGAATTCAATATTTCATTGTACATTTTTGTTGCATGTTTGTGAATGGCTGCTCTCAAAACGGTTTGAGAGCAGCGTTTAGTTTTACTCCAAAACCTTGCAGGTCCTCACTTGAAATCTGGTTGAGAAAGAATGTAATCTGGATATCTCAGAAAAAATGATATGAATCATAGCAGCCACATGGCAAAAGATCACAGCTTCAAAGTGAAGCATCGCACGACTGCAGTAGTATAATGAAGCAACTCACAGAACAGTGTGTCCTTTTCTTTTGAAGAAATTATTATCACTCAGTTCTTCCAGCTAAACCTTTGTTTACCCAGATGTCCCATCTAAAAAAAAAAAAGCACCATGCATATAAAGTATTGTTTTTCTTTTCTCTGTTTAAAGGATGATTTTGATGTGATGATGCCAACCCAGCTTTGACAATGTATGAGGTGATGTCCGGTGACACCCTGTCCTGGAAGGTGCCCAGTCCACGACAAAATGAAACAGAGGCTGGCCCTGAAGAACAATTCTCTGGGGATGGTGGACCTGTCAAAATCCTTAAAGTGTGCTTCAGCACCAACAACAACCTGGGCAAGAATTTCAAGCTGGTGAAATGTGACAACTCCTGGCAAATTAGGGTGAGAATGTAGCCCAGAAAATATGGGGAAGAGAATTTCATTGTCAAAAAAGACGAAAAGGGAAGTGCCAAATCGTGTTTCCGCCACTTAATGTTATAATTTTATCGCTATTACATATTTAAACGAGTTTAAACCAGAAATTTCAATAAACTGAAGGATGACCAAAAATCTTTTCAAAAAGTATTTTTTAAACTTCTTTTTTTCTCCTTCAGGCTATCATTCGTTCAATTCTGGTCAGCGGGCGTTTAGGGCCAAACGTTCAACACGCAGGATGCTATGGCCTCATGCTAAAGCACCTGAAGTCAGAAGAACTTCACTGGCTCCATCCAGACCTGACTGTCGGAGAGGTGGAGAAGCGCTATGAGAGCAATCATCTGGAAGCCGAGTGGAGGTACTGATGGACTATTAGGATATTAATCTTGTAATTAACATATGTACTTTTTGTAAGCTTTATTGTATTGAGTTTTATTTGTAAGCTGATATCTATATTTTCCTTTCGAGCACAGATATGACCTTCGTATCAGATACATTCCTGTGAATTTTGTGGAAAAATTCAAAGATGACAGATCGACCTTTGTGTATTTTTACCAACAGGTAACTGTATTTGTTATCCTGTCATAAAAGCTTCCTGCCTCTATTGTACTTGTTGTTGTTTAACTGATATCCTGTGCATCATTTTAGCAAATCTCGTGTAGAGTGTGTTACTTTAGTTGCTTAAGCCTAGCCAAATTTGCTGCTGCCTTTGCAAGTCGCTTTGCAGCCTAACTCTACTAAAGAAGCCTGTTGTCATTGATGACAGATTGGGTTGGTGCTGCAAAGTCAAGTAAAAATCACTCTAGGTGGAAATGGTTTTCTTTTGATTTAAAGAGTCCTGACTGACTTTGTTTGAAGTTCTATTTAGAATTTTATTGTTGGTATTCGCATAAAACTCAAATTTTTGACATGTTATTATAGGTGCGTAGTGATTACATGCAGTATCATGCCAGTAAAGTCAGTGACGGGATGGCATTGCAGCTTGGTTGTTTGGAGATCAGGTGAGTCACTGCATTCCTTACCTCGCTGTGAGTGTGAGGTGACTGAACTGGGTGTATTTACTGTACACTTTCCAATTGTCTCCCTCTTGCAGGCTCTTTCATAACTTAACCCGTGTTGCTGTGCTTTGTATTTAATAGAATGATCAAAAGCTATAGAATACTTAAACTGCTATTTTTATTAATCATTTTGTATCTTTATTCTCACTCTGTTTTCACAGGCGGTTCTACAAAGACATGAATGCAAAAGGTCTTGAAAAGAAATCTAACTTTGAGCTGCTAGAGTAAGTTTTTACTTTCTGTACACTACAAAGAGTTATCGCTCTAATATTACATTAAGGGCTTTTAAATCCAGTTTAACTGGTGTTGTTTAATTACGTTACCCTAAAAGTGACACTTCATGGGTTGTGAACCCTCAGCTTCAAAACATGATTAAAAATGCCTTGAATTAAACTAAAAGACCATTTTTTAAATATTAAATCAGAATCAGAATACCTCATTAATCCCTAGGGAAATTATGTAATACTAAGCAAAAGACAAAGAAAAAACGTCACAGCATGAAGGAAAATCAGGACCAATTCAAACAGGCTGCATACCGGTTGATGCAAGCTCAATATAAAATTTAAATGACATGATGATGATTTAAAAAGCCGATACATTATTATATATTACATTTATTTATTTCTTTGAGACACCCTAAATATGTGTAGCTATTTATTGTTCCTTACCAAAAAGCTTTAACCGAAATTTTTATTTATATTTATTGGCCATTATAAATGCCAGTACCAACAGTTTGACAAACAGCTAACATCAGCAATAGATTGCCTTTCAAGCTCTAGAGTATGTTTTTAATTCTGAATATTCTTCTAAGGTTTTTTGTTTGTTTTACCAATTTAGAAAAGAAGTTGGCCTGGAACTTTTCTTTCCACAGCAACTGATTAACAGCATGAAGGTAAATTTCTCTAAACGTGACTTAGTGTGTCCTACCTAAACAGGCACCCACAATTTATGAGACTTCCTTTGCAAATTAATATTGAGTCACTATTGTGCAAAAGTGCAAGTTTTACCATTTTCAAATCTCTGTGGCTGTGATCCAGCCTAGGCCCCTGCGGAAGATGATTCAGCAAACATTTCAGCAATTTGCAACACTCAAGGAGCATGACTGCATGATCAAGTTTTTTGAGACGCTTAAAGATTTCGTCAGCTACGATGAAGAAGCCTTCCCCTGTGAACTAGTGGTGAGCAGGAACATGATGTTCATCTGGAGCAATGAATCATGTCTTATTCATAAATAACAAAATAGACCTCGTTAAGCTTGTCCAGAACTCCAAGATCTGTAGATTTCCCGTTTGAGGTATTAATGTTTCAAATGTTTTTATTTGTGAATAGCAAGGCTGGAGTCTGTCTGTGGAGCTGGTCGTCGGTGGGAGAGGAATTCGCCAACGCACACAGAAGGATTCAGCTGTAAGCGTGATTAAGATTTTGTTAATCTTGCACACAGGTTTAACTTCATAATTTAATCATTGCATTCATTCCTTTTGTGTGGCAGGCTGTGTTTTTAGCTGACTTCAAACAAATTAAGAAAGTACAATGCATATCGCAGAACGATGGCAAGGCTCTCCTAAATCTTGACATAGAGGGCGCGAAGCAAGTAAGTGTAATATTCCTCCCTATAGTTTGAAATATTAGGGAATGTCACTCAATAGCTTCCTTTGTTAGGTACACCTCGTTGGTATTTGATTGGACTGTCTTTTCTCTTCAGCACTCCCTCGAGTCTTTGTGGCACAGATTTGGGAAGGTGCTGGAAACATTGCTCAGAGATTTTGATCCATATTAACATCACAAAGTTAATGCAGATTTGTCGGGTGCACATTCATGATGTGAATCTCGCATTTCACTGCTCTAGTGGATTAAGATCTGAGGCCATTTAGTACAGTGAACTCATTGCTATGTTTAAGAAAGCAGTGAGCTTTGTGACATGTTGTGTTTCATCAGAAGATGGGTACACTGTGGTCAGAAAGGCATGGGCATGGTAAGCAAATGTGTTGGGTGTTGAAACTATGTTCAGCTGGTGCTAGATCAACATGTACCAAGAAAAGTTTCCCCCACACAATTACAGCATCACCAGCAGCATGAACAAGGCAGGATACATTTATGCTTTTATGTGTTTTAGACCGAATTCTGACCCCCACTAAGCAAATGTTGCAGCAACATTAAAGATTCATTAAACAAGCATTTGTTCCTATCTTATGTTGTCCAGTTTTGGTGAGCTTATGTGAATTGTAGCCTCAGCACATAGTGTGGTCCCCTGCTGTTGTAGCCCATCTGCTTTAAGGTTCGATGTCTTGTGCATTCAACACCTACTTGTGCCGTTCTATCAACTCGAACTCTGGTGATTTCCTTCTGACTTCTAGCGTCAACCAGGCATTTTCATCCAGAGAACTGCTGCTCATTGGATATTTTCTCTGTTTGGACCACTCTCTGTAAAGTTCAGTGTGTGAAATACTCAGACCAGCACGCTGAGCACCAACAGCCATGCCACATTCACAGTCACTTAACTCACATTTCTTACCTAGCTCACCTTATTTTAATGTTTGAGCTTTTGCTGGTCTACATGACTAAATGCATTGCTGCCATGTGGTTGGCTGATGAGTTATTGGTATTTTCTAAACTGGCCATTCAATCTATGTATTTTTGTGACATGCCATTGTGTCCTCATTGATAGCGTCTGACCATCAATGTGGCCACGGTCGCTACGGCTGAGAACATGATTGATCTTATTGACGGGTACTGCCGCTTGGAAAACAACACAGATGAAAGTGTTATCCACCGACCAAATAGAGGTGTGTAAGATTTATCTATTAAATAAAGGGCAACATATTGTTTTTAAAGATTGACCATTGTCTTAAAAGCTGTTTGAAATATATTCTTAAAAGTCAATCTGGATTCTCATTACTACTTCCTATCCTAGATGCCAATGCAAGAACCTCCCTACCTGAAATTCCTACTGGGTAAGTGGCTGTTTTACTGACTTATGCAGTCAGTGCTCTAATTTGAACATTTCTGACTTTGGCTTTCCCCCATTTTGTCTTTTCCTTGGAGCAGCAGAGAGACGAGCTCGCTCAGACACAGTATGGGTGAGCTCCGAATTTTAACAACCTATGCTGTACACTTTTTAATAGTTAAAAACCAAATTCCTTTTAATAGTGACGTTATTATGAAGACAATAAAAATGAGATCTTTTGCATTTTTAGGTTCAGATATCTACTGTGAGATTGATGAAAGGCCAAAATCAGGTTCGGAAAAGTCTATATTCAATTCTGTTACAGGATCATACCTGTGAAAACTCACTTTTTAATGTTCACTGTTACTGTTGCTCTGCAGTTGTGAAATACGGCATCGACCGAAATGACATTGTTCTCGGCCGAATCCTCGGCGAGGGTTTTTTTGGGGAAGTCTACGACGGAGTATACAAAAAAGCTGTAAGTTTAAAGGGTTTAAGCGCGGTGTGTTACAGAGCATCTATAAAATACATGATTGCATTAGAAATAAATGGCAGCACGCAAAGTGAATGTGCAGTAACATGTGTTTAATTGGACAGAATGGTGAAAGAGTTAATGTGGCAGTGAAAACCTGCAAAGACTGTTCACCTGACGTGATGGAAAAATTCATGAGTGAAGCAGGTACGCAGAGAAAAAGATTTCTAAAACAGCTGCTACGTTCACCACAACTGTGCCAGCAGGTTACTGACAGAGTTGTCCTGATAAGTTGTGATGTTTGTGTTTGTCAGTAATCATGAAGAACCTCGACCATCCCCACATCGTCAGACTGATTGGAATCATAGAGGAGAATCCCGTGTGGATTGTCATGGAGCTTTATCAGTATGGGGAGGTTAGTCCTCATTTCCTGATTGGTTATAGAAAATATGCATTTAATATATGTTCTTTTTTCTTTTTAAACTAGTGTAGCTTCTGGATGCCACAGCAGATGTCGCACATGTGAATTCCTGACTCATTAAATACATTATTGATTTTCTTGCAGCTGGGACACTACCTGGTTCAAAACAAAGAAAAGCTGACAAATACAACCTTAGTGCTGTTTAGCCTGCAGATCTGCAAAGCTCTCGTCTACCTCGGAGGGGTTAACATGGTACACAGGTACATTTTTTTCTCTTCTTAATTAAAAAACGAATGCTTTTATTCAACAGAAAGGTTACAGTGTTATAAGCTCTGCCTCCTTTGAGCATAAATGATCATGGTCTGACATAAAAGTAGCACCAGCTTAGGCGGGTATTTCAGATATCCTTGTCCCCAGCATCACTTTCCAGTTCCTCCTGGGGAATCCCGAGTAGTTTCCAGTCCAGGAGGGATTATATATCTCGACTCTCGACAGTCGAGATATATAATCCCTCCTGTGGCTTCTGGGTCTACTCGAGGGTCTGCTTCTAAAATGTAATCCACACTTTCAGCTTAAGAATTACAGCCATTTTTACACATAGTCCTCCATTTCCAGAGGTTCAAGTAGTGACAAGCAGTTTGATGGCCAGGTGAGGCATGCTTCTTTGTTAATTCATGGCAAACAAAGCGGACATAATATCTCAAGTTGATTCAAAGAGTTGGATTTGTATTGTTGGGTTTTCTCCCTCAAGGCATCCTACTCAGTCGCCTTTTGATTGAAAGTGGGCGCCACGCAGGCAACACAGTTGGTCTGCAACTATTTGCAATCGGTCCACCAGCTAAAAAATTGAATGCAGCCTTTTTTCCTAGTTGCAAGGAGAGGAGCCTACCGTCGTATTTTAACTCTAGTGTGACTGAGTGATGAAGTCGTCACATTTTGGAAAAACGTTTTATTTAATCTTAAAACATTGAAATGAGGAAAGTTGTACTGAAACAGCAGAACATCATGTTCCATTGAGTTGTGTCTGCAGACTGTTTGAGTGCACAATTTCAGGTTTTAACATGCATTATTTACATTTCCCCTGAATCTTGCCTACATTATCCACCTGTACCAACATAAACATCAACCTTTCCTCCAATCCTGTCCGCTCACAGAGACATAGCAGTTCGGAATATATTAGTTGCCAGTCCGGACTGTGTGAAGCTTGGAGACTTTGGTCTATCGAGGTACATAGAGGATGAAGAATACTACAAAGGTAAAAGAGACACTCATGAACTAACACAAATGTTTCATGCAATAAACATAAAATATCAGCTAGATTTATAAAATACTTTAACGGTAAACGCTTCTGTTATGTTTTTCCTACATTTTGATCTTGTTCACATTATTGTTTTAAGTCATGTACGTAATAATTTTGATCACAATTTTAGATTAAAGGATCTACACAGTTAAACCACAGTCTGTTATGTCTCCTTGTCAATAGAAAAATAAAAGAATATTTAAAACAAATACACAAATTAATCAACTTATTTGGAAAAATCTTTAAAAACCATGGCTTTGACTATCTTGACTATAATGCAGTGTGCTAATTTCTTTGCAGCATCTGTGACCCGATTACCAATCAAGTGGATGGCCCCAGAATCCATTAATTTCAGGCGTTTTACCTCAGCTAGTGATGTGTGGATGTTTGGTGAGCTTGTTACGCATTTACCTTCAACAGCACGGTGACATTTTGAGGGTTTGGTGCACAAGAGACTAAGAAACACTCGCACATAGAAAAAGGTCAGGTTACTGGTTAATAATCAACCGAAACAAGGGCTACACAGTTTTATGACGAGGCAGGGATTATTTAAGCTGATATGGCTCTACATTACAGATAACGTGCACACAAACACACATAACAGTGGACTGTTATTCTTCTTTTCTTTGTTTTGCTTTTTTAGCTCAAACACTGATGGTTTACATGGGGGAATTTTAAGCCTCAGAAGGCTCAATATCCCAACCTAACAGCCTTTCATGTGTATTTACTCCTAGTGCTTTTACAAAAGTACTGAAACACTGGCATCCTCTGACCTTTGAGGCCTAAGAGAGTGAGGAATTACCTTTATGATGCCTGACTATTTGATATCCTCCCCTAAGGTAAATCAGTTTTTCTAAAACATAAACAAACACAAGGCCCAGGCCTTGTGACCCTGAATAAGCCTGACAAAGACTCCAATCTGGCCCACTGGACGACTTTGGAAAATGTGAAGCAGGGCATAAATTTTAGCCTTTTCCTTCCTACTGATAAAGACCATGGCCATTCACACTAAACCAATGCAAATAAGTAATAGAGTTCCTGCTTTTTCATTATATGCTATAAAATTTATGATTTTTACAGCTCGTCCCCGGAAAAAAAAGATATATCCTGTTAATTGATTTTAAAAAAGTTACGTTTTCCAATTCCAGGTCAGTCTGTGCAGTTTTCTGTAATTTTCACATTTATCTCTTACAATTTAAGCCCAAAGCAGCCATATAATGACTAAAAGCTGATAGGTGCTGTTGAAATTGCACTTCTTTTTCATGATTAAATATATTAGAGATTAAATGTGTAGTTAAATATCTTTACAATGACAGAAAAGGGAGTTTCTCTCATCCGGCCCACTTAAGATCAAACTGGGCTGTATGTGGCCAGCAATGTAAAATGAATTTGTTCTGCACTGTGTGTTTTCATGCACTGAATTCAACCATACTTATGATTTCCATTATGAATTTTTAAGCATGAACTAAACACTATTATTGACCCAGATCTGTAATATTTTCTCACAAAATACATCTTATTTAGTTCATGTATTTCTTTTTGCAACAGTGACTGATACAACTGTGGACATAAAGTGGACTGAAGGCTGATATAGCTAAAATAAAGCTATAGGATATGCATTAAAAACATGAGATATATTACCATACCATAATTTATTTATATATCACTTTATTATAGCACTATATTAGGTAGATTCTGACCCAACAGCTGCTTCCTGTCGGAGAGCCATGGATTGTTTTAAGTACAAGAATGAAATATTCTATTTTACACAGCTTATTGTAAAATAAAGCAAAATAAACCTTTTTTTTTTGCTTCATCTGGTGGAAAAATAACTTTTTTGAAAACTGCAATTAATGAAAATAATCAAAAACATCAATAATGAATAGTTATAATTATTACTAACTCCATTACCAAGCACCACAATGACTGCTTCAGGTGGCATTTGTTTGTCTTTGTTTGCTATTGTTAATGCGTTGAATTTCATCCTTATTGCCTGATATTTTCTATTTGTAGTCTATTACACAATCTGAAAATGAATAATGAACTGGAGGGTGAACATTCCCAAGCTTATTTTTGTTTCTGTGTTGTTTTCTAGCTGTGTGTATGTGGGAGATAATGAGTGGTGGACAGCAGCCGTTTTTCTGGCTTGAGAACAGAGCTGTGATCAACCAGCTGGAGCAAGGCATCAGACTACCCAAACCAGATAACTGCCCTCCTGCCCTCTACTCACTCATGACCCGCTGCTGGTCCTACGACCCCAGTGAAAGACCCAGTTTCACTGAGTTGGTTATGAAGATCAGGTAATTCTTTATGCATTATTAAAAGAAGTGCTTATGAAGAATACAAATGGATTGAGATCCTTTAATTAAGGCTTGGTCAGTGGGCCCAATCTTTTTCAGTTGAGGTTTGTGATTATCTGCATAAGCAGATATTGGCCTCATAGTGCTATGTTAAAAAAAATGTTTATTTTACTCATTTCTAGTTTCATATTTCTATTCTTGACTCCACTAGAGAAGTTTTGTTTTTAAATTTATCTTCTTGTAGCCCGTCACTTTAGCCATTGACTGAAACAATGATTGGCTTCTGATTGGCTACAAGTTTGTAGTCTGAATCTTGAGCAATTGGCTCATAGGGATTACATGATGATGGCATCATGATTAATATGAGAATATATCCTGTCTATATACATGTGACGGAAAATAAGGAAAACCATCAACCCTTTACTGTGTAGTTAGTGTGACTGTGACTTATTCCTCATGAAGAACACAAGACAAAACAGAACATCTTCAACCGGTCTTTAACTCGCTAACGAGGAAAGTCAGAACCAGGCTATGGACCAGGCTACCTATCTCTAGCCCAAGTCCTTCAAAGAGTAGCTTCCCTCGCAGCTATTTATTCCCATGATAGTTACAGTTTACACAATACAACACAACACAAGCACCTCCCACCGTAAAACCCCCCAATGGTTCTAAGATAAGGCACTGTGTGT